TTAACTACTGACATTTTGGTAATTGCAGTTATCTGCTTGTTTACTTGACGATGTCTTTGCAGTTCCTTTGGTTTTCTACATGCTGTGAGGATGGGGTTTTTTTTATGAGGGTTATGTAAACTTGTCAAACTTGATTAGAAGATGGATTGAGGCAAATACTGGACAAGACAACTTGTTGGAAGCAACAGGAACAAAATTTTACCTTCCACCGTAGCATAAACCCAGAGCTATAAATGGTTGTCTGAGGCCAAAGAGCAGCTATTAGAAAGGCAGAGCCCAGATCTAAATCAAATTAAAAACATGGTTAAACATGTATGTTTACAAATTACAGATGCTTCCCATCCATTTTGACTGAGCTACAACTGATTCCCAAATAAAAACTGACAAAGACATAAGTTTTTAGATGCAACAACCATACTCCTGCCCCCCCAAATTAAACAGCTGTCGGAAAAGGTGATTCGACATATTATCCAGTGAGGGGGGATAGTATAAAAACGCATAGGAGTTTTTGGTCTTCAACTGTTTGAGATTTGCGAACATGCAGCATTTCACTTCCATTTAAATTGACACAGTGCTTTTGTTGGACTGTCCCCTGTAACTTCGACATGAAAAAAACAATTAAGCCATAAAAGTTTGTGGCTGTATTGTGAAACGTCAAAAAGTTAAATGGGGTATGAATAGTTTTGCAAGCTCACCGCTGAGGTGTTTACGAGCGTGAAGCCAAACCATCTTGTAAACACCACAGAGCACGGTGGAGGGAGGGGGATGATCAGAGGCCGACTTCGCTGCAGGGGTCACTTACCACATTGTCACTTTAAGTGAAAAGAGGTGCGAAACATTCACACACAAAAATGTATAAGAATACACACACACCAGAGCACAGATCACACGCCAACACTCTCAACATAGTTTCCTATGTGGGAGCTGCAAGGTCAAACATCTTGTGGGAGGAAATGGGATCCGTGAGGGTGGGGCTGCTCGTGGATCAACGATCACTCTCTCATCGTATGAGTGCCCGTCATGTTCCTCATGCTCACCTCATCCAGCCGGGTGTGGATCATCAGGGCTGCCGTTGCAGCTTTCAAACACCTCAGCAGAGACCAGCCCCACTGCCCCCCTGCTCAGCTGAGGCTCCGCCGGCTTTCCGGTCGGCCCAAACCCGTACAGGGGGCTTCCATATTTGCCAAGCATGCCAGAATTAAAATCTGAAACGACAACTGACAGGGGACAGCGTATGCCAGAGGACGACTTGTAAAGTATTCAAAGTTACGTGAGCCGGTAGATGCAACATGATATTAAAACCACTTGTCAAGAGGAATTAAAGCTGCCTTCTGTTGGGACACTTCCTCCATGGGAATCCGAGCAATGGAAACCATCTCCCTGCACTGACACGCTGCTGCTGCTGCTGCTGCTGCTGCTGCTGCTGCTCCACCAGACAGGGCTGAAACATGCCAGTTTCTTTTTTTTTTTCCCTCCAACACAAATGACTGATGAGAAACAAGGCTGCTCTATTCATCTTTCCCTTCAATCACTCACAGAAGGAGCTTGGTGACAAGAGGTCATTTCTCATTTTTGTTTCTTCATCTTTACACTCGGAATAAGTGAATCTAACTCTGTCCAGCTTTACATTTTGCTCAGAAACAAAAGGTAAGTAAACAGAAACTGTTGATTTGTTTGTGAATGTCTTCCTTGGCATTTCAACGCCGTTAAAATATAATCGACTCGCACTGATCTTCATTAGATGAAGTCAGATTTGAAATTGTTCAAAACTGGTCTATATTTATTATTTATCCTTTTGTTTTTGATGCATTCTTCACTGAGTATTTTTTTTTTAATACATTGCACCTACAATAACTCCAGGACATCTCGGAGTGTTAGGGTCTCAGGTTTGCTGGCCCAGATAGCTAGTCTCTGCAGACACAGTGGCCTTGTTTTAACAAATTATATTTGAATCTCCCAGGATGTGAAAGCGATCAGAAGTAATTGAAGTTTATGCTTTATTTTAGTTTTTAAACAAGACCTAGTTAATCTTCTGATAGTAGCTTGGAATGCATTTAATCCATTCACTCACTGTAACCTTTTTTTTTTCTATCAGAAAAAAACAGCTATACATTACATATATTTTTATCTAATGTATCGCGTAAAGTAATGTAGTGTAAACAAGATCACTTCTTGTTTCTGCTCCTTGACATGACAACACCCAAAATGAAATTCACAGCTTTCGTTTTCAGTGTTATTTTTTTAACATTAGCCATCCTTCTCAAATGAACATGACAAGCACAGAGTTTGCTATCCAACAGTCAAGTTAGATGTGTGTCTATCAATTTAGGTGATTAATGTTTTCTAAGTAGGTGGTTTCTGAAGTCAGTCTTTTGTAATTGCGACGCTTTTTTAGATTTTTATTTGCAAGAAACGTTGCTTCCTGATTTTTTTTAAGCCACCTAGATGACACATTTTTATCTATATGCTTTTGCCTCTGCTTTCATGATTGCATTTTCTTTTAAAGTAGCTAAACATCGGTGGGATCTTTAGCGCGTCACTATGAAATGGGAGAAGCTGAAGCCTCCAGAGCCGGATGATCCCATGTGTTGCTGTGAATGTGACATCTACCAGTACAGGTGTTGCTGTGACTGTGAAGATCTGGACGAAGCGTTCAATAGGTACGGCATGGGATGAAGCTGCTTTTACGGTGCCGAAAAATAGTGAGGACGAGCCATCAAGCCAAGAAAGTCTTTGAAATACTTTGATTATTAGAAGTGATCCTTTCATTCCTACTGAAGCAGAGCCCATCGGCTTCCCGTACATTCATTTACAGACTGTTATTTGTCATCCCACCCTGACAAATAACACTCCATTGGTATTTTTTATACCTCCTTAATCCTGTTCAAGGTTGTAGAGACGCTGGTTCCTTTTTGGGATGCACCCTGGGCTGGTTGCCAGTTTATCTCAGCTTTATGCAGACGCATATAAGAAGAACAGGAAGCAGATATACCATCCTTCACAATTTCCTTGGCATTTATTATCCAAATTATTAAAAAAAAACATAAAATTATGCAAACATTTCTTTATACAGCGGCATAACTTAGCAATTGTAAAAGCTCCCAGCACATTTATTCACTGCGTAAAATCTGTATTTGAGAAATAGTTTATACAAAAATTTAACAGTTCCTTTGTTCTTTGATTTTAAATCAGTTTTGAGCCGTTTCTAGGATTACTGACACCGTGTTTGTTTTTGAATTTTATCTGATAGTTTTAAAATATGTCGATTATGTTAAAAATTATATTATCAAAATTATAGAAAATTGGCATTTTTTGCTGTAGCTTTCAACAGATGGAACATTTTCATTTGAGAACAAAGTGGATAGGGAAATAAATACCTTGATTTTAGCCTGAAAATGTGCAGCATATCAAAGTACAGTAAAATGTATGTTGTTTAAGTCTGATTTCTTGTGGTTTTCTTAGGTGGCTGAAGGAGAAACCACTCTCATGTGGGCTCCAGTCTCCTGTGCTTAGGACCATGATCAACCACCTGGAGATCTCCATGATCCCGGCTCTGCTGCTGCTGCCTCTTCTGCTGAAAGCTGCAGCGCTGCACTACCTGCTCGGCATCACCATCCTCACTGCTCTGCCAGGCCTGGTGCTGTCTTACTACTACGCCACCCATCGAAGGAAAAGGCGCACCCTCTTCTTCCTCACCCTTGCCCTCTACTCCCTGGCCTACATGTATTATCTCTTCATTGTGGAGATTTTACCCCGCGGGGACGTCAGCCCACTGCAGACGTGTGCTGTGACCACTGGGATGATTCTTACTATAGTTTCACTCATTTACACTAAGAGAGGTCCAGGATTTGTCCCTGCCTCTCGCCATGAAGTAAACCGTCAGAGGATGGTCGCAAAAGATGACTCTACTCGTTCTGATGGATTTATCCAGGCAACAGTTGCAGAACAGACAGGAAAACATCCCCCAACAACAAAATGGAGCCTGTGCCCTGTGTGCAAAATAATGCGGCCCCCGCGTGCCGGACACTGCAGAACATGTGGATCGTGTGTTCAGCGTCTGGACCACCACTGCATCTGGTGAGTCTCCTTTAAAGAAGTTTATCTGTCGCTTTTTATTTACTTTTTTTTTTTTTTTTTTTTTTGCTGATTTTCCCAACCAAGATTACAGATCTTTTAACTGTAATAACTTCTGTTAGTATTTGTGCAACAAACAAGCTGCAGGCCAGTCATTCTAACATATAGTAGTAGAAAGTCAACATCGTTGGTCACATTTTGATGTATCAAAAATTATCAAAAAATTTGGAGTTTATGGTCATGATGCAAAATCTGGAACTGAATCATGTCTTTAAAAATTGCTTAAAACTGGGAAAACACACTTCAGTTGTCAACTAGATGTTTTATAAAGCATGACATCTAGCAGTAATCTTGCGGTCCCGTTGCCAAAATGATTCAAGAAGTGGAAAAAATGGTTTTATTTTATCTAAAATAAGGAAGATATCAGAAAGTGTAGCATGTATGTATGAGATCTCTATGAATGCAAACTTATTGCTTAGTTACTTTTGCCAAAGCTCTGACATCATCACAGAAAAGCTCTATTTATACTGAGAATAAATTACACACAGCAGGACTCTGTTTACTAATTAGGTAACTAGCAAAGGCAATTATTTGCACTCATTTTTTTGATGTTGGAATATCAGAGGAGGGTAACACTTTTTTCTTCATGAACAAATTTTTAAAACCATGGGAAAATTACCCTCCTCTTTGCAATTGTGCACTAATTTGATTCAGTAAATCACATTGAGGTATCTGTTTGTTACATGACAAAATGTGGAATAGCATCTTGTCTCCATCCTCTGACCTCTCTGTCTGCGTTGCATGTTGAGATACTGCAGGATAAACAGCTGCGTGGGACAAGCAAACCACCGCAGCTTCCTGCAGACCCTCTGTGTGTTTGTGCTGACCTCCGTCTACGGGATCGGTTTGGTGCTCCGCAGCCTCTGTCCTCGTCAGTATCGGATGACGGCCCTTTTCTACTGCCCCGGCGTCTACAGCCAGCCAAGGTGCTGCAGACTCTTCAAAAACAGGAAGAAAAAAAAAAGACAAACTCAACAGATTGTTGTATGATAAGGAAAAAGCTGTAATATGACACAGCAGAGGCAGAAATCTACTTTAAAAAAAAAAAATTAAATCATAGTTCATAGGCATTACATGTTATAATAATATAACATGTTGTGTTGATGTTTGCTCTGTGTGTGTTTACAGCACAGCCCTTTGCTTCACCTGCTGCTGGTACAGCAGCATAATCACAGTTGGACTGCTCTACCTCCTGGTGGCGCAGGTTCTGAACATCAGCTTCAACGTGACGGGGCGTGAGGCTCAGCTGGCTCTGAGGAACAAGAAGGGCCAGAGCCGCCTGTGGGGACTTGTCATCGACACCGGAGAGTATTCACGTGGCTTCTATCAGAACTGGGCTGAGTTTCTCACAATGGCAGACTCCTCTGTGACTCTTCACTCCAGCCCCACCGACTTGGTCTAGTTTCTTCTACAATCTTATTAAAACGTCATCATCACTTCAGACTCCCAGTACAGCCGAATCATAAAGAGCTTATGATTCGGCATATGATTCTGACAGTAGTTTTAATTTACAGAAGACTGCAGGAGAATATAAACATTCTTGTGTTTAAAAATAGAGCGCACACACAACGTGCATGTTTTGGAGTTTAAATTTGATGAACAATTGTTCCGCTCATGGCTTGTAAAAGGGAAATGATTTATTACGTACCTCTCAGCATTAAAGCTAAATAAATGCATGTTTCAGAAGCAAAGATGTGAAGATTAATTCAATAAATTTTTTTGAAAAGATTGAAGAATGTTTACTTGGTAATAGCTGTGTAGCATTTACCTTTAAGATGGTTAAATACATTTTAGTTTCATATTATGTTCGAGTATTTAGCATTCAACACAACGTATGAACAGCGTTAGCTGGTATCAATTAATATTTTCTTTAATTTATGCAGCATTCTGTAAAGTTTTGTCATGTGTTTAATGAAATTCAATTTTATATTTCCTTTTAATCTTCATTCCCCCACAGATTCAGAAGGGAACTCACAAATGTCTGTTTTATGATACATCTTCAAAGATGCAAGACTTTGGAGAACGCTGTGGCTCTACGATCCAAAGGAAGTGATGATTCCACCAGCTGCTGGTGTTACATTTTGTAACATTTCAGATGTTACAAAATGTGCAGCATCCGACTTGTAAACTCTTAGTAGTGAATGAAAAATGACTCGGGAGTATTTCAATGCAACATTCAACATCCGCTTCTCTTGTTATTTCTTGACAGAACAGTATTTTAAGTAAATCTTTAAATAAATAGATTTCCATCTCCTTTGCAAAACTCAGTTCAGACGTTCTTGTTCCCTGTGCACAAGAATAGTTTGTCCTCTGCTGCCCCCATCAGGTCACTTTTTTCCTCTACAAAATACCTGTAAAATTTCTCCCATTTAAAGTAAGGTAAGATAAGGTAATTTTACTTATATAGCACATTTTCAGCAACAAGACAATTCAAAGTGCTTTACATGAGTTAAAAGTTAATACAAACAAAATAACAAACCAGAGGAAAGAAAAAAGAAGAGGAAAGAAAACTAATTACTGTTCTAAAGTATGTAAACTAAGTGTTCCTATTCAGGGTTGCTAAGTATCTACTACCGTTTCTAAATAGTGAGTACTCTACAGTTTCTGATAAAATAAGCTAAAGAGTGACTGATCTAATTCCTTTTCTGGGTTAAAGTACTTGTAGCAGCCCAAGCCCCACAGGAGCCAAACAAGTCAGCTTCCTCTCAGCATTCAGCGTCTTCTGTTCTCGCTGATGTCATCTTTGATTTGTAGAGAAAAGATAAGAGTGAACTATTTTGAGACACTTTTCTTTTATTAAGTATGAAAGCAGTTTGAATTCATAAAAATGAGTAAAAAAAAAGTATACATTTGTTAAAAAGTTGAGAGAAACATGTACAAAACTGCTGAATGGTCCATTTCATTTGCTACAATAAATGTTGAACTATTATTTGTTGCAATAAATGTTGAATTATTATTTGCTACAATAAATGTTGAACTATTATTTGCTACAATAAATGTTGAACTATTATTTGCCACAGTAAATGTTGAACTATTATTTGCCACAGTAAATGTTGAATTATTATTTGCTACAATAAATGTTGAACTATTATTTGTTACAACAGGAACACGGTATGAACAAGTTGTTCTTTTATTGCAAAACTAAATTAAGTCCCCCTATATGGTAAAATGTTCGTTAGCAAAATCTTTCTTTCTATTCATTATTCAACACCAGGACGCAGTTCTGCAAATTTGACAGCAATAAAGTATTGGAAGAGAACTTTGACAGGGAAAAAAAAACATTGTAGTTCCCCATCTATCCACCTCAGCTCAGCACATGTTGGAGCATCATTAGGAATTCAGTCTGCAGGTGTGTTTGTCTGTCTGTGTTTCACAACTGCTGACAGACAGATTGGTTTGATTCTATGGCCTCAGCCGCAGAAAGCAATGGAGGTTTAGCAAAAACAGTGCTGTTTTTCTCCTTTCAGCTCAATAAATCAACTTTAAAAAAAACAAAAAACAATTAAAGTTCTAACTGAACGTAAGGAGAAATGAACTTGTTCCTTACCTCCCTCCCTCTCTCACACAGAGCTGACGGGATTGAGTCCTGGCAGGCTCAAACCTTGAAGTTGTCAATATGTACCTGCGTTCGCCTGAAGCCTCACATGTTTGTTACAGGTGTTATACCGAAAAACTCATGCTCTGTCGCGGGAACGCGCATCGTTCTAAACTCTCGGAGATTGATGAGAAAACTAACTGAAATATGACCGAAGAGGCAACTTTTAAAGGTATTCGTAACATTATCATGTTTCGGAATAACAGGATAATATTTGGGGAAAATAGATATGCAAATATCGGCAAATTAATAATTTGCTTTGCCAAAAAAAATGTATTCCCCTCCAAACTTGAAGAAATAAGAGAGTTAAATAACTTTTTCTACACAATCACACTTGTTCTATGAGCTGCTGGTATGAGTTTAATACCAGTAGGATGACATTTGGAGATAGGGCATGCAGATATATTGGTAGGCTAATAATTTCCTTTGCCAGAAAATGCATAAGAAACATGATAATGTTACAAAAATCTTTCAGTCCGTTTTCTCATCAATCTGTGAGAGTTTAGAGCGATGCGCGTTCCCGCGACAGGGCATGGAATTCTCGGTAGGTATGCGTTTCTCGGCATAACACCTGGCCAACTTGTGTTGTGTGGCAAGTGGAAGGGAAAAGATACATCCCCGCCTCCCCTGCCCCGTTTTCTACATCACCCCTTCTATCTGCTATATAAATAATCACCGGGCCGACTTTTCGACACCCCTTCAGAACTTCATACAGGCTCCGGGCAGCATACCTTGTCTTCAGTAGCCATGACTCCACTGTTGGTCCTGCTGGGAGCCGCGCTCTGCTCCCTGACGATGTCCACGGAAATCGTCCCTCAGCCAGGCTTTGACTTAAAGGAGGTAAGAGACGTTGCAGAATTAACGATGCGTGTTATTGCACGCGGATTTATACTCTCTATACAGAAAATCTGTAAATGTTTTTTTTTTTTTTTTTTTTTTCTGCAGTGATCTGAAGGTTGACCTTCTAGAATTTTGAGGAAATGAAATACTGGGCATATTTTACTTTTTTAATTTAAAATGTATGCTTTTCTATCTTATGTTTTACTTCAGACAATAAAGAAAATTCGGAACTGGTATTCGAACACAAGTGTAAAAAAAAATAAAAACAGGCACATTATCAGCCATAGATGCAATTATCAGTCATCAACAGACTGCTATTTGTCATCACATTAATATCATAAAAACTTACTATGCATGATATAAATTTCAATTTCAGTTGAAAAGAAAATCAATAAATTGACATCATTCGGAACACTTCCCCAATAGATTCGTAAATGAATTATATTTTTGTGCAGCAATGGACAACTAGTAAATTTATATTTTAAAGCCAAACAACTTTAAATACAGTATAGTTATTTATTTACATTCATTTTATTATTGGCACAAAATAATTATGAATGTTTGACAAATTAAAACTTAATGTACTGACACGGTTTATAGGTAATATTAATACTTTTAAATGGGAGTATTATGTAAAATAGTCTTTTCCGAGTTTTATGTCATGTTGCTATTCCCTCACCAAAATCATGCATGTTGCTTTGATTCTTTCATGTATGTTTGAGAAATCCTTTAATCTCCCATGGCAACCATTTTAGGTGCCTAAACACTTGCTTTTACATAGCTCCTACATGTAAATCACTGAATCCTGGTTTTGTATCCACACCTACCCCCATTTAGCTCCTTCAGACTAGCAGCAGCAGCAATTAGCAAAAGCCTGTTGAAACTGCATCTTCTGAGCTCATCATACCAACTTCTTGTTTTAAAAACTAATAAATGACATAATAAAGAAGCATTGTGAGGACATGCTGAACGCAGAATGTCAGCAACAGGAGTTTCTTAAAGAGACAGGGACCCAATTTCAAGGTGTCAAATTTCTTTCAAGAGATGCTTGATACAGACAGCATTTTTAGACCAGAAGGTATCATAGTAACTTGATTGTGCTATAAAATGGCACTATCCCTTGGAAATGTATAACACTTCCCCTTTAAAAGCAAAAATAACATCTCAAGGTTATGCTGAACAAATAGTTTTTAATATTCTGTTTGCTTCAACAGGCAGAAGGGAAGTGGTACTTGATCGGATTCGCTACCAACAGCCGGTGGCACATCAACAACAGAGATACAATAAAAATGGGCATTGCCACCCTAACTTCAACTGCAGAGGGACACATGCATGTGTCATACGCCAGTCTTAAGTAAGAGAACACACAGAGAGAGAGAGAGAGAAAGGAACATCGAAAACGAATCACAAACAAGTTGTATCTTCTTGCAGCGAAGACGGTTCTTGCTCTAGAAAGAAATACCGGGCCAACAAGACCGACATACCTGGGAAGTTTGTATTTGTCAGTAAGCGTAAGTACAATGCACACACCAAAGTAACGTGGTTCTAACAGACACACTGACATCTTCTTGCTTTTGTCAGGTGGGGGCAGTGAAAACCACACAATTATGGTGGAGATCAAGTATGATAACTTTGCACTGATTTACGACATGAAGAAGAAAAAGAAGGGGGCCATCATTAAAATCGTCAGACTTTACAGTAAAGTTCTCACTAGCAGTGCTACATTTTGTGTCGCCGTATCTTTAGTAGCAGATTAATCCTTTGTGACCTTTCCAGGCCGTACTGATGAAGCCAGTGACGAAGTGAAGGAGAAATTCAGACAGCTCGCCTATAGAGTTGGCACTCTGACTGAAAACATCTTTTTTCTTCCTAAAAACGGTACTTTTTAAATCACTGGATCCTGTTTTAGTATCCCACTGCATTAAAGTGATGCAAACACTAATCAATTTAATCTCTTTTGCTTTCCTCAGCTCCATGCCCACCTGCCTAATCTCCTCCCCCAGTCATGTCGGTGATTCAAGCGGCAGATCATTACCTTTGCTGTGGAAATATCCGCCTATCAAAGCTACTGGCTAAAACATCATCTTCTGTTACTTCGCTTTGCAACGACTCTACTGTTCCATTTACCTTGGCACCATCATTGAGTTCTACTTGCAAAATAAAAGAAACGGCTAAAATACTTTGCTTTATTATCTTTTTTTAACAAATACGCAGACGTACATCCATAACAACACAATTCGGATTTCCTTTTTATCAAGTGTTTACATCTACACGCTTTGTACAGATTTGTATACAAAACAATAATTTACGTCCCATAGAAGTCTAGTTACACTTAACTATACAACAAGTTGTAAGTGAAATAAATATAAAAACAGAAATGATCACAGGTGTTAAAGGATGTAAAAAGCCATAATACGCATAAACCACCAGCACCTGGCATCTGAATGTTGCATCTAAAAAGATATACATTTTCCCTTTTCTACTGGCAAAAGTACATCTGTGATGGTGAAAACACAATTCAGTCCATAGATCCAGATTTGCAGCACCACGTATACTGTATGATTCCCAACATACATTTCACTCAAATCAACTTTGAAATTCATTGGGTTTCTCTCCCTTGTTTGACTTAAAAGATTGAAACACTGAAATTTTGGGCTTAGTCTCCGCTTGATCCGGGCAACTGAGCACATTTACAGACAAGAAACAGAAATATTGGACATAAAGTAAAGCATTGATTGCACAGCGATTCATGTGCATGTGTCGACGTTAAATCACAACCACAGTGCATCCACTTCTTTTACAGGGAAATTGAATGATTGTGGTGGACACAGAATGATTTTTGATACCGTTCTGTTTTTGTTACCACAACAAAACCATTGTGTTACATATTGGTGGGATCAAAGCACCAGGAAGCACAACATAGGGGGACTTTTTATGGCCTTCTTTCTCCCTTTCATTCACACACACACAAACGAACTGAATCTCACAAGTGCTACTTAGAACATGTGGCTAATCCATACCTCTGTTGGGTTAAAAGTATATTTTAAAAGAATGATGCAAACATTTTTGAAAATTACACTTTGATTAAGACAAATAATTAGGACCGATTTTGACCGAGAACTGATTGCTACCTGCCAAATCCAAAAACGTGTATCTACAAAAAGACAAACTGCCATGCACACAGTCACCAGCAGGGGACATGCAGTTAAAAAGTGCAAGTCTATGAAGAAGGGGAAGAGGAGGGTGCTAACTTTGTAAGAGACTTAATGGTATGTACATGAGTATACGTCTGCGAAGAAACATAAGGCTGAGGATTAGAAAGAGCAAAAACAACAGATTGGACAAAAGTAGAGCGAACACACCTCACAGTTTCTGTGAGTGTGTAAGGACTCAGGTGTGTGATGGGCGTTTCTGATGTTGGTCTTTGTTCTGGCACAGTATTTGGCTCAGTCAGAGTCACTCTGCTTTCACTACGTCCTTGTGGTGACGCATGATATGCTGGTTCTTCTCCGAGGGCCGTCGGAACCCTTTGGAACAGATCTCGCAGCGGTGCGGGTAGTCCTTTGTGTGAATGGAGATCACGTGCCGCTTAAACCCCGAAGCGTCCCCGGTGCTGTAGTCGCAGTACTGGCACTGGTAAATCCTTTTCTCTTTCTGTCCTTTGCCAATAACAACAGTCACACTGCTGGCTAAGCTGGCCGCACTGACCCTGGCTGGTGGGCCGGACCCACCCGAGCCACTAGGTGCAGACTTTTTAGGCGCCGCAACGGGAGTGTGCGTCTCTGTCCTTTTCGCCTCACTCTTTTCAGGTGAGGCCTGCTGCTCTTTTGTGTGGACAGACAAAATGTGGCGGCTGAGGATGAAGGGGTCGGCGATTTTGAAGTTGCAGTGCCGGCACTGGTGGAGTTTCTTAGTGCGGTGAGACACAGAGTGCTTCTTGAGCTCAGATGGCCGGTGGAAGCCCTTTCCGCACACCGCACACTTGTGTGGATAGTCCTTGGTGTGAACAGATATGATATGGCGTTTCAGGTCACTGGAGTTTGAGCTTTTGTGATCACAGTGGGCACAATGGTGGGTCTTATTCTCCTCGTGAGTCAGTCCGTGTTGCATCAGCTCCTCCTCCTCTGCGAAGGTCTGGAAACAGCGTTCGCACTTGTACGGCATCTCTTTGCTATGCTTAGTCTTGATGTGCGTTTTGAGATTGGAGGAATCGGCCGACTTGTAGTCGCAGTACATACAGGAATAAGGCTTCTCGCCGGTGTGAGTGCGCATGTGTTTCTTCAACTCCGACGGGTGCCGGAAGCCTTTCCCACATTCCACACAGATGTGAGGGAAGCTTTTGCTGTGGACGGCCAACAAGTGTCGATTGAGCAGTCCCTGCTCAGCGGTTTCATAGTCACAAAACTTGCACTTGTGCATCTTAGTGGGTGGAGGAGGTGGCTGGGCTTTGGGCTCCCTGTGGTGGTGCTGCAGCCTGTGGGAGAACAGCGCCCCCTGCTGGTGGAACTCTTTACCGCACATCTCGCACTCAAAAGGGGCTTTGCTGCTCAGTGCGTGCACTTCCATGTGATTGTGGAGGCTGGCTTTCTTGTTGGTGGTGAAGTCACAGTCTGTACATTGGTACTTTTTGCGGGTCAGAACATCCTGGTGGTGATTCTTAGTGTGTCGCTTTAGGAAACCTCTCGACTTGAACTTTTTACCACAGAGCATGCAAGGATAAACTGTCAGCGGCTGGCCGTATGGACCAATGATAATGGCTGGGGGGAAAAAACAGACAAATGACAACATGGTCAAATACTTGTTTGAGAACAGCCACTTTTTCATTTCATTTTCATAAAATTTAATTTTATGAAAGCATTCATACACCTTTCACATTTTCCATATTACTACAACCATATTCTTTAATATATTTAGAGTTTTGTGACAAACCAAAACATAAATTTACAATCAAACCTATCGGGTGTGCTCCATGTTCCTCATGATGCCGTTGGCTCATTAATATTCTCTAACAAACCTTTGGGGTTTTTGCAGAACAGCTCCATTTATACTGAAGTTCAACTGAACAAGGCAGGACGATTCACTAATTCACGATTCATTTTGTATTGGCCTGATACAACACCAAATAAAATACTCTGAGGTTTGTGTTTATATTGTCGTTGAATGTGAAAAGTTCAAGGGAGATGAATACTTTTGCAGGGCAGTGCATACATTTTCTATATACATATCTGAATAAACAGTTTATTTTCAAAGTCTGATAAGCGACTAAAAAAAATTAATTGCATTTAACTAAGACGCTCCATCAAAGTTAAAAATCAATTGTAAATTAATAAAATCATATCCCTAAAAACTACAACAGAACTGTAAAACAGAATAAGTTCAAGACCTGAATGATTAAAATAAAAAATCTTTCTTTAAAATGTAGCCAGTTTTATCTTTTCCATGAGTGAAAAACATGGCTATTCCTGAATGTTAATGAAAATTAACATTCGGTTTTTTTCCTCCGTACCTGTCTGGACCTGCCGATGTTCTGATCGTCTCTTATTCTTGTTGCGTTGCCTATTGATTTCATCGACACCGTCTGATTCATCGATGTGCAGCAGTGCACTGGCAGCGCCGTTTCGGTTTTCACAGCCCTCACTGTCCTCTACACCTGAAGGACCAACAACACCTCATTTACACAAAGCCAATACTGTGAGACATGGCGAACGCACAATACCCAGTTTTTGTTTTTTGCCAAACAAAAGATGAGTAGTGTCCACAAAAACCTGATAATTTTTTACTTCCACGGTTCAAGCTCAGTGGATCCATAAGACTCACCATGATTTCCTTGATTGTGATGAGAATCCCCGACAGACATGTAAACCATCTTCTCTCTGAGTGTTTGGCCTGTAGACTCTGTTAGTGCGACGCTCTCTGCATCTCCGTCACTGATGTCAACAGATTCTCCTGTAGAAAGGTATATTGCATTCACTAGTTTTGTTTGATGCAAATAATTTTTCATGTTTTTTTTTGTTCTAAATATTGCTCAGACAGAAAACAAAAAACAAGTTCCTACCCATGTCGTCCTCTCCTGAATCCGCCTTGAAGATGTACACTTTTATCACCTCTTGTCCATCTTCGTCCTTCTCCACTTCTTGGTCCTCCACGGCCCCTTCCACAGTTACCTCAGTTCCATCCTCAGAGACCATTTTTCCAGCTTCGTCCACTAGGTACATAAATACATAAAACATTAATGTAATATAGATATTACATGTTACACCAAAAAACCCAGCAATGATTAGAATCAGACAACTTTCCAATGACAATATGTAAGTAGAGGGTCAAATACTGAAACATGTATTTTCTTTGTGTTTTAGAAATTAAAATGTTTTTCAGCCTTCAACAAAACGCCATGCTCTTGTTTGGAGTTTAAAAGAAAAACATAAAGGTTGGGGAAATATGCTTTAATGTGTAAATGGGATTACGTTTGTAATTTCTTGATATCCTGTTAAATTAAAACAGTTCAAGGAACCTTGAACTTATTTTTATGGTCATTATTAAAGTTTAATTTATGAATCAATGAATAAGTAAATAACTTAAGTGGGGACTGATCAAATCTCAAAGCAAAAATCAGAATCTCTAATAAATGCAAAGCAGAGCAGCAAACCTACAGGATATCATCAGATAATCTCCACAGCCATCTTGGTCATCATCCTGCTGCTCTGGGTCCAGCCCATCTTCCGGGATGTCTCCCATGGCAACGCCTTCCTCTTCGCCTTCTAGAGCCATCACACAGGTTTCTACAGCAACATCTTCATCTTCATCTCCATGCACATACTCAGAAACTACGTCTTCGACTGCATCCTGGATGACGAGCTCTTCTGGGGCAAATCTGTGAACTGCCATGCCTTCACCCTCACCTTCTGATACCAAGACAGTCTCTTGAAGCTCCACAACAAACTCCTGCCCAGCGGCACTACCGTCATCTGCAAGAAGATAATCATTTAACAGGATAACACCAAAGATCTTCTTATACAAGTTCTGAGGCTACAAATCAAAATGGATATGTACATCCTCCAACTAGAAACAATATTCCTAAAGTACTTTTAGTCAGATATATACATATATATAAAAACAAATAAACATGTCTAATTACCCGATCCGTGTATTATTATTTTAGGCTCTTCAGCATGTATTGCAAGCCTTGTGACATCCTCATCCATTGTCCTCGTGCTGCATTTGTTACTGAGGAGCTGAAAGCAGAACATGCAGTAGTTAAAATGCAGCTGGAAAAAAATATGTGCAGAAGAGCAATTCATGTGCAAAAATAAAAAAAAAGTCAACAAATAATTATCACACCGCATTAGGAGTGCCTTAAGAAAATCTATATGCCCTAAAGTCTTTTTGCATCTCAGTGGCATTGTAAATGAGTCACCCAAATGATCAAAATATAAGAGTAAAACCCATCGTAAAACCAAAAGTTTTCATCATATTAAGTTTAGAATTATGTGTTACAGTTAAAAAGTATAGAAATTGAATTGGAACAGGAAAAAAACATTGGTCATGCATCCAAGGTCAACTGAACCCATTTGACAGATTTTAATGTGACTAGTGTGTGTGAACTTCTGTATCAAGTATTTTTTTTTTCTCTCCACGGACAACAGTAAAGGAAAACTTCAGATACTTGACGAGGTAAAATGTAAAGCAGAATCTTCATCCTGCATCTGCATCACCATCAATAATTGTTTTGATTTATTTTGCAAAAAATAAATATAAGCAGGTTTGTTGTCGATTAACATACTGATAGCTATATAATATTGGCAATCTAATATTTTATGAGATATTATGACTTTTTGTTCAATTCCTGCAGTAAATTCAGCCTGGGTGGGGGGTTTTTTCTTCTTCCCACAGACCTGGAAACAGATTCCTCATGTTTTCCAGTTTACCATCTATCCTCCTTTCTTCCTCTATTCTGTTCTAATCTCTCCATTGTTTTTAACTTTTTACCCCAGCTCACTTCCCTTTTTTCTCTTTTTTTTCAAAGCTGTAATGCTCCACTGCAGGACAGGACATGTTTTAAGAAAGATTTATTAATTCAATTTACAGAAATAATCAGATCATCGTTTACCACTGTTAGGGGTTTGGCCAGAGCCCTTTTCATAAAAACCCCCTGGAGCTCATATGATGAAGCAAGATTAGTATCTCATTATAGCTGCCTTAGGTTCAGTGACAGCCAGCATTCAAATGCTGTTTCACTCTGAAATGTTTATTTCAGTAAATGTAAATGGAAACCTAGCTTACTCTACCAGATATTAGGAGATTATTCATTTACTACACAAGTTATGTTTTAACACAAGACCCTAAATGTAAAATGAATTATGAAAATAAAATATCAAAACCCAGAGGGGCGAAGACATGTTCTTTTTAATTGTTGCTGAAACATGTTTGAGAACTTAATACAATATAGTTTACAACAAAGACTGGTCAATTAGCTGTCCTGTTAATAGGGTATTGGGAACAAAAGATAATTCATTTTTTATATTATCAGTTGACTATAATAAACTTTTATTGCCATTTTTAAGCAACAGGGTGTGTGCATAAAAATGCTGGTACATGTTTATATTTGTATCTAACCTATGAAATGCTGTAAAAACTAAAACCATGGGCAAATTAAAACATTGGCATTTTAAACATTCTCAACAGATTAAACGCTTAGTGTCATTGAAAACCACATTGGTTCAGGAGCATCTGAGAAAAATCACTATAGATGAATGGTAGCAGGGCAACCTGTGTTTGCATGATTTTGGTCTGGACAACTACTGCAAAATTAGACATCAAAGACAGAGAGACCACCTAGACCTAAAACTAAATTATTGGATTGCAGCCTACAAATGCTGAGCATTCAATATAATAGCCAACCAAATCTTGCATCTGATAAGTCCTTTGTGATTTTAATATGTCAAGCATTTACCATTCATATATCACCTGTGTTTACAATGTAAAAAGAAACAAAAAAATAATATGCCACTGCTTTCCTGAGTAGATTTTTTTTATTATTAAAAAAAAAGAGTAACTAAGACTTGCCCTATTACATGCCATTGTTGGCATGTAATAGGGCAATGTCGAAGAAAACAAAATCAATGCAAAAGTAATTAAGACTTGTCAAAAATATTGTGACATCCAATATATATTATAAAGGTTTCCATATAGATTAGTAAATTGAAATAGTGTGTCAAATTTCCTTGCAAATCAGTTTTTGAACATATAACACAATTAGAAGAGTGGGCTTAAAAAGACAGACACCACGTTTCAGTTACAAAGGTAAGCTAGTAAATGAAACAATCTCCACTCTATTTCCCAAAGTAAATTTCACCAAGATAACAAGTCTAATCTTTAACACTGGGAAGAAGGTGAGATCACATGGGACAGAAATCTGCTCAAAGAAGGAAGACGCAGAGATGTAAACAAAAAGCGGTGTAACTGAGGTGCCAATTTTTACTGAATGTACCATCCCCCACCTCTAGGTGGGCAAAAAAAAGGTGACAACGATGCGTGGAGAGCAACACAACAGGGCATCACTCCGCTTTAAAAGATGTCAAGACTATGCATTAAAACTCACACGAGTGGTTGGATTAACTTTGCTAGTTTCGTGCACGAGTCTAAAACAAACACAAAACCTTTGAGATAAATAAAGGCATCATGCCCAACTGACCCATGGAACAACATTGACACTGATTTTAAATGCAAAGTCGGACTGCCACAGAGAAAACTGATTTAGAAATAGCTGACAGCGTCAACATACATGTGCAATAGCAGAACAAAAAACCCCGAAGAAAATCGGGTTAAGCTCATTGTTCACGGGTATATATCTCTGCAGAGGTTTGCAGCTAGCAAGAGAAGTCCTAAACACACCTTTTCTACAACCACTGTTCAACACACAAGCGTCCGCCATTTTTGTTAGCCTTGTGTCTGAGGAATGCTAACTTGAATGTGAATAAAAGTACTTACTAACGTAAAGGTTATGTTAAATATACATAAATTTAAGTAAAATTTACTCCACAGTTGTAGAACTCTTTATCTATCAAAGACAAAAAAACGAAAAATGGCGAGTGCAGATACTGGACTTTCGGTGAGCTGGATGGCTAACTAGCTAGCTGGCTAACAACATAGGCCTGCCTTAACCGATCACGGCCTCAATTAGGCCCGGGCCCCGGGAAGAAGAGGCCCAGCCCTGAGCGGCCTCGCGTTTACATTAAATAATTTAATTAAAATATAAAATGCAAACAAACTCAAACAGCCACAAACGCACTAAGACGAAGACATCGCTCAGGTAAGAGGCGATCCGGGAGCAAAAGAAAGCCGCGTACCAGATTTATGCTGCAGGGATGGCCTCTGTCCGCTCCACGGCTTCCCAGGCCGCCTGGTTCCCCCAGACTCGGGCAGGATTCAGTCGGGAATTTTGTGTGATTTGGGCGGGCCGCGAACGAGCAGAGAAGGAGGGGTGAGGGGGTAGTTTCTGGAACACCGCTGAAAAACGAAGCAGGACGTCTGAAGCCAGACAGTGTCCTGCTACAGCCCCCCGCTTCTCCAGCTCCGAGGCCGCCGTCAGCACGACACGTCACAGCCCGAGAGCGGCAGGAAAATGCGGAAGAGTTGAGGTGGAAATCACCCGAAAGCTACCAAAAAGGCCATGATGTGAAGACCTGTCTGCTGGATTGTGACAAAGCTTTGCGTGGTGTTTCTTTAGTATAAAACCAAAAGTGACTGTAACTTGACTAGAACCATTCTACTTTCACCAAACATCAGTGGGGCAAACAAGGGACCTAATTTACGTTTTAGTTTTCATTTTTTAAGACAAAAATATACTTTTAAACTACAACTGACTGCTTTTAAATAGAAGCACCTATATCTCACAATATTTTCTTGGAGTACTCGCACACCTTGAACTTTTTCCAAAACATGTTTTATGGGAAGTAACTAACAGAACAAAATAAAAGAGCATAGAAAGGTGAAGTAAAATAAAAAGAGCAAGTGGTTTTATTTTTATTTTTCTCCTCAAAAAGTGAAAATATAGCACATATCTGTATACAATCCCCTGAATGTTGTTTAGAACCAACTGTTGTTGCTGCAAACATTTTGGGGCATGTCCTTACAAGCTTTGTATGTCCAGAGGCAAAAAGGCCTGCTTATTGTTCCTTTTCAAGTCTGGCCACAAATTTTCATTTGGATTTAAATCTAGACTTTGACTGGGCCATTGTAATATAGATATATGCTTTGAGCTGGTTGTTCTTAAAACTTATTTTAAAAAGTACCAACTCAGTAAATACCAAGCTTTCTTTGATCTACAATAATGAGAAACATTTTGAAACAGTATTGCAACATTTTATAGTTTTGACATGCATCTCTTTGGCCAAGTCAATCTATATAGGTATGTGCTCTTTTTCATTTGCCTCAGTTGATTTAAGCTTCATCTGTCTCTGTTACATCCTTTCCATCAATTAGTATCACATGACAGACCAGAAGACTCTTATATGACAGATTTTGAACCTATGATCAAACCAGGGGCACCTGAACAATCTCCTACTTCTACCAGCCACCAACCCATCAAACTGAACGACTTAGAAAAAATTATAGGATGGAATAAAATGAAGCACATCTCTGAAAGCAAAAAATTATAAAATATTTATAACCAGCAAGCAGGGGGCACCAGCTTTCCATTGACTGCAAATAAATTAAAGCAATAGAAAACTTGATCATAAGTTTTTTTTTTTTTTTTTCTGCTATGTGCTGTCCTGAGTAACTACTCATTAGTTACTAGTTGTCAAAGTAGGTTCAAATTGTCTCCCTGGTGAGATGAAATTGACACATGTTCAGTACAAAATGTCCTGTTGTGTATTGCTCTTTTTTTCCCCCGAAAGAGTTTTTTTTATGAAATGGACAAAGCTGCAAAAGTATAATACAATGAAAGGACAAAGTCACTATAGCACATGATTTACAGACATACACTTTGCTTTGTTAAATGTTTATTTGATTCAGGATATCTGTAGATTAATGGCAATGATGAATTAAAATAAAGCAGAAGTCGTCAGCCAAGTAAATACACTACCTGGTTTAAAAAAAATGGCGCTCCATATGTTTGAAAATGTAACATTTTTATTATTTGAAATCTGTCATGAACAAAGTTTAAACTGACAAAGTTTGCAGGTGGAGGTGGTTGTTTCTCTCTTAAAGTATATTTAATTTACACTTATTTCTGAAAATAGTAAATTATGCACTTAGATTTTCATATTTTATTCATTACCATTTTCAAATCATCATATTTACTGTTACATTTTACAGTATCACTTAGTTCCTATTAATGAAACCAAAAACCTCCATTCCAGATTTAATTTACAAGATAACCATTAACATTGCATATTAAAATAATAAAGATGTTCATTACTGCATACCAGTATTGCAAATTTTAATGCATAGGTTACTTTCTATCGACTTATTGTGTTCATAAATCGCAAGAATATAACTTCAAAGACTGAGTAATTTGTCTTCATAAAGTTCTAAAATGGTTTTTACTAGTAAGCAGTTTGTCAATAAGTGTTAATCTGCTTAATTTACAATGTGAATGAGGTAAATTTTGCAAAATCAGCTAAAAATCAAAGACACAGAAATATTAAAATTGTCTCAAAAACATCCTCCACCCCATAAATTCTTTATAAGTGATTAGTATGTTTTATTTTGCAGTCATCTTCATCAGGTCCTTCTTTTGGATCTCAAAGAGACGCCAGCCCTCCTCCAAGGACAGGTCAGCGGCGCCCCTTCTCTTGTAGAACTCAATAGACTGCTTGTTGTTTTCTGCTACAATGAAATGCATACTGCTACAGCGGGTCTTTACAGCAATCTGAAGGAAAGATATTTCAGAAAAATGGATGTTAAAAAACAAGTAGATGAAATCAATGTGAATGTGTGGCCAAATAAGTTGCAATTACACAAAGTGTCTGTACCTCACTCAGCACCTTCAGGATTTGTGAACCAATGCCAAAGCCTGGTGAAACATTAAACAGGCAGAGCAATTACAACAGTTTTTTGCCAATGTTGCAACACTGCTGTAAATTATTAGACCACAGCCGAACTATTCAGCAATCTTACCTCGAAACTCCTGCATTACATAGAAATCTTCCAAATAGAGAAGCTGTCCAATCCACGGGTCGTATGTGAAGTAGTACATTGCAAAGCTAATCACAGAAAATCCTTGATAAAAGACACTAGAAGTTAAAGGCTTTATTTATAAAGTATCTTAAAATACGAGGCAAGATGTTTTTTTTTTTTTTTACCTTCTGTAGTCTGATCTTTTGGGACTTCTGCAACCAAGCAATGGTAGCATGGATGATCCCCAAAGCCATCCTCAAGCAGATCTAAGTTAAAGTAGGATACTAATGTTAAAGGACTCCATAGCAAAAATGGGTTTATTTATTTACAAATAGAGGTTACTGCTTGTTTGGATAGTAGACTTTGGCATAAATAAGTTAATGCACAGCACCTTTCTCAGTGAGCATCACCTTCTCCTCCATCTCTTCAAATTTAGCAAGTTCCTACAATGCATAAAGACATGAGCTGAATTTAAATTTGAACTAGAAAGAACTTGTTGAGAAAGCGGATAAAGCGCCTTACCTTTATGAGTCGCAAGATATCAGATACATCCTTTGGCTCAGCTGACCGTAACACAAAATTGGCCATTTTCTCTTTTTTCCTTTTTTCCCTTTTCTTACCAGTCCTCGAAATGTGAACAAGAGCAAAATTTGTTTCTTCATTCGCTCCTCAGGAGTTTCCCCCCCCCGGCAAAGAATTAGAAAATCTAGCGCATACAGTTCTGCATCAGCCGCTCACAGAGTTGTACAGTGGCGGCAGAAGCCTTCCCTTTATGCATCCTCCAAAAAGACACACCTGATTGTAAATCCACATATTGACGCACGTCCTGTTTCTTTTCGGTACGAGTCACTTATCTCTGTGCATCACCGTTTTTCACTTGAGTCCTGAACAAAAGAGAAATATTAACCAGCCCTAACAACACATAAGTGCTATAGTGAGCACAGACCAGACAAACCACAAATCAGAATGAAGATTTGTGCAAATATGTGTCTCTTACAATACTCAATGTGAGGCTTTTCTGCAGGTTGTAATTGGAATATGAACAATTTCCTCTTTGGAAAGTTGCCCAGTAGAGCAAGTCTCTTATTGCTTGCAGACAGTTCAAGGTGCACTTGCATTATAAGATTTGTGATTCATCTGCCAACATTGTTTTGTCCATAATCTATTCTACATTGTAAACAGACTTGTTTGAGTCCGAGCCGACTTTAGGTATTCTCCACCTGACTAAGGGAATGCTCCCACATACAGATACTGAAAATGCTTTATTTATTGAAATGTTCTGTTTTATAGCATCGTCTAACTTACTATTCCTAGTGCAAAATGTCATAGTTTGGGTAAAGGTCTTCTTCACATGTCTTCAAATTATGAAGAAGGCCTTCAAAATGTGCTGAGTCTAAAGCCACATGGTATGGCATAAGAATATGCAAAAATATTTTAAATCTCAAAACTATATACAATAAATATTCTGATCATAAAATGCTACTTAGTGATAGTAAGCATGTGGCTGTTGCTGGGAAATTTCACTTTGACCAGATTTATTGTCCAGGAAGAATTGTTTAACGGTTACCTGGGCGATGACCCCGTTAGCGGCGATAAAGTTGAGTGATGAGTTTTCCTCTTAAAAAGGAGGGGGGAAAAAATCTCTCCCATCCCAGAAAACTTGTCTGATCAGCCTCACTTTAATACTCGATTAGCTGCTGAAAACAAAGGAGCGATCACAAAATATTAACTACCAGTCATCACCTGTTGGCTAATAAATACACAGCCTGGAATTAATCATAATCTGTATGTGCCCCAACATAATTCTATATTTAGGACATTTTTTTTATGTTAATACTAAACAAGCAGTGTTCATATTAATCCTATAGCAGGATAACAAACCAATTCCTTCACTAGTGACTTATGGTGATCATCCAGTTGCTGACTGGATGATCAACATGTAATCATGAAATCAAATAATGACACGAGACACCAAAAATTAGAAAAAAAAAAAAAAAAGATTTTATTTGAACTTGGTTGGAATTAAAACGTTTGGGAGGGAAAGCAGAAAAGTTGTTCAGTTCAGTTTGTCAAAATATTTCAGCTTGCCTGAGGGGTCAGGAATGATCTGTGGAGGGAGATATGATTTAATTAGTGGTTTTCTTTCAAATACACCAAATTTCAAATACTTCCAACTTCCAAATTCCCAGTCATACTTACAGTGTCGCTGCCTGGCTTCCATCCTGCTGGACACACTGTAGGGAAAAAATAAAAATAAATAAAATACTAAACAAAACCAGGTGTCTATTAAAAAAAAACAAATCTCATAATAGCCAATAGATAAATAATCTTTCCAAAGGTGAATGAAAAGCACTTCCAGTACCTTCTCCATGTTTGTCTGTGTACTGGAAGGCCTGGACCAGCCGCAGAGTCTCATCCACTGATCTTCCCACGGGAAGATCATTCATGGTGATCTGCCTCAGGATGCCTTTGCCGTCGATGATAAAAAGACCTCTGACAAAGACATGGACATGTTAGATGAGGGTAGGGCTCACCATGTCAAATACCCACTTTAGTCCTTTTTTCCCCCCTATGAAGTAGGATTTGACTCGAGTCTCAAAATCTAGTCCCTGCATCAAAAAAATTGAAAAAAAAAAAAAAAAAAAACTACTAAAAATAGGTTTTGCAGCATAAGAAAAAATATTCCTTGTATCATGTGTTATGGTAATCATTGCAATAATTATGACAAATTATAAAAAGTGTTTAAAAGTCAAATAAATATTTTTATAGATAATAGAGGTCTAATTTGGAGAAGTTCTCCAGAACAAATAAATAATAATAAAAAAATAAAAAAAACACAAAACATCAATTTTGTTCCAATTTTTTTTCTTTCGATTGGTCCGTTTCACTTCTCCAGCATTATTTGAACCATGATGGCGATTTTAAATTTGAATTGCACCTCAGCGTGTGACCCTGGTCCTCCAAGTAGACTCCATAATCTTTTGAAATCTGGTGTGTGAGGTCAGACAGCAGAGGGATTTTCATTGGTCCGAGTCCACCCTGCTTCCTGGGGGTGTTGATCCTGTTCAGAACAGAAAAAGTCAGCAAAACACTTTAGACAAATCATCACTAAAGTTACGGAGCTAGGGAAATCAATACGTAATCATGCCATTTACTGAGTGTGGTTTGCACTTTATAAGTCTACTGGAAGTGGTTTCCATACCAAGCTAAATGGGTGAACTGGGAATCCACCGAGCAGGCGACCACCTCAGTGTTGATGGCCTGAAATTCATGCACGCGATCGCTGAAAGCAATGATCTCAGTGGGGCAGACGAATGTGCTGCAGGAAAAAAAACATGACATATTTTACATGCTTTCCAGTAAAGACAATGTGATTTTACAATAATATATTCAAGACATACGTACAAGTCCAAAGGATAAAAAAAGAAAACAAGGTATTTTCCCTTGTAGTCGGACAGCTTGAGCTCCTTGAACTCCCCATCAATGACAGCAGTTCCTTCCCAGTTGGGGGCAGGCTTTGAAACTGAAATAGAAAAAAAAATGCACACAAAAATTATTTTCTTTGAAATGTTTTTTACTTGCATATTCCCATCCTGTGAGACTAGTAATTTCACTTTGCTAGTCGTGGCAAGTGGCTAGGTTTTTGATACTAAACCACTACTGATTTGAACAATCAGTTTATTTTACTGGGCTTGAAGAAATTACATATTCTTCTTAAGAATTAGCTGTCTTTACTTGCAGAGACATCAGATGTCTTACACATTTTTTTATCATCTCAGTTTCCATACTTTGAGACTCAGTTCCTCAAATTTTCCCAGTCTAGAACATTATAAATTTACAGATGATGGCAAACAGATGGATGGAAAAAAACAGATGAACAGTTGTGTTGATATAACTTATTATTTTTCAAAGTGAGAGAGGGAATAGAGAATAATTAACCATAACCAATTTACTTTTTCCATGCTTACTTTGACCTCGAAAGTACTTCAAGTTCCAGACTTTTCTAAACATTATCATTTCCACAGTAGATGGATTACAAATTATGGACTGACTCAAAGAACCAAAGACTGCCAAATTGAGTACTTGTATAAAAAACATAATAAAAACGGACTTTATGTGTTGCATGACATCTAAACATAATTTGAGCCATGGTTTTAAGAACATATTTTCTTCACATAGATAGAAATGTTGAACGTCATCTGATATGGTTGTGGCACAGTAGTTTGTCTTATTTTATGCTATATACTCTCCATCCAAGTCATCTTTGCAAGTTTTTTCCTTTATCCTTTTCTGTTGCCCTCAGTTTTGGTGAACATACTCTGTGCCTGCCTACCAATCAGACTGCCAGGACAGGTTTCCCCATGTTTGATGTCGGTCTCAAATTACTCGCGTTCAAAACGAGCAACATGCCATAAGTAATTGCTAAAGCAAGAATAGAGGACACGGCTTGCATTAAGGGTAAGTCATGGACCATATGAGAAGCAAAGCAAACGAAGGATCGTAAGCAGAAGCAACTAGAACATACGCACTAGATGCATGTTGTAAGATTTTATGGACAAGTGTGTGTTGGTGTGCTGCTATTCTGGGTCATGTGTCAGGGGCGGAGAGAGACAAACTGCCCAATCAATGTCATGCACTGACGTGTCCTACAAAATTTAATCAAACGCATGGAAATAAAATTACGTCTCTGGGGTGAAATCTAAATTGGAGTTTAAAACCTATGAGGAAACAAAGGGACACAAAGCAACACAATCAAACGCTCATCCGCAGGCTGCGTCAGTGCGCATACGTTATGTTCTCACAGGCACAGCAGTGGCTTCCCAACAAGCAACGCATCTGAAAACGCGCACTTTCAGCGTGCATAGCATCGGTTCAATAACCAGCGGGGTTAAAAACAGTAAGGGGAGGAAGGAACTCACTCTTGGCTTTACTGAGATGCAGGGAATGGTCGGACACGGGCACACGGAAAGCCTCTCCAGGATAGACGTGTCCTCCAGCGTAGTTGTGACACTGGGAGTTCTTCAGGTGAGTGCCTTCCTCTGCAGAGGCGATTGCGCTGACGAGGAGCAAGGCAGCGCAAAAGGCGCACAGCAGCTCCTTTTTTGCACCAGTGCTGAAACCAGACTCCATTGTGTGGTCTCCCCGTGTGCACGTAGAGTTTCAGACTTTCAGCAGGAATGAAGCCTCCTTCCTTATCTTCTTCTTCTTCTTCGTCATTTGGAGATTTCCTGCAGCTGGCGTCCTCATTGCTGCATTACCGCCATCTTCTGGAGCTAATTAAGCTTTCAGATTAATTGTTAGTGAAAATACATACAGCCACCAGGTACATACTTGTAGAATAATTTATTCTGTGTGTACTGAAAGAAGCATAGTTTTCAAGATTTTTGCAACCTCATTACCTTTATACCCCTAAATAAAACTTTAATCAGAAAAACATTCTTAATTCAACCAATGAAATGCTTTAAAATGCTTCAAACCAATGAAGCACAAGCTGCCACAAGCTGCTATGACTACAAGCATCACTGGTCACACCACAGTAATGTTTGGAATCGAACCCCTTCATGAAAAACTGCTCATTTTAACTCTGGAGGAGCTACACAGATATACAACTCATGTGGATTATTCTGTTAACAGGGCGTTAGTCATGCACATCACAAATCTAAGACATTTACTGAAAGACAGGCCAGAAAACTTCTGATTGCACTTCATATAAGCCATGTAGCAAATGAGATTAAAGGTAATTTTTAATACAAATTGCACACAAACAAAAAAGCTTAATTTTTTTTTATTACCAGGGTTCACCCAAATCCAGTGTCCATACAGACTCTTCTTGAATTACTTGCTACTCCAAATGTAAGCTTTCCATAAGTAACTGAACAGCCATTTTTATTCAAGTTATAATACATCCATACAATACACTTTGATCTTATAAAAAGGCTGCTAGTGTTTAAAAACAGCTGAAAGTTAAAAGTTGTATTTGCTGCTAACAGCTTGTGTAGACATGCAGCATGTTCACAACAATGTATGTTATCAAATATGTTTATGTATTGAAATTCTGATGCACCACCTTCTAATAATTACATTTGCTGCATCTGGTAAAATAACCATCTTCAGTGAATAACACAATGTCATAAAAAGCTGCAAGGTCAGAAATACTTAAACAAGTCTTCAATTTGGAAAGATGAGTTTATATCGACGGCGTAAGATTTATTACTACTATAAATACTTATTCAATGGAATCTTGACTCCCAGAATTTAGGATATGCACGACATACTTTACACCCACAATCAATTTCTCTCTAAAATCACTGAAAAGCTACAACAAATGTAAATTCATATCTCTGGTTATGGAGTAAACCAAAGATGAGAAGCCACATTCAGCACATTTAGCTCCGTCAGGTGCATGTTTAGAAGGGTCAGGTACATACAGATACAAGAAACCTCTGCACTTCTTATTTAATGTGGCATTTTTAATGGAAACATACTGGTTGACTCAAACCTTTTGAGGTATTTTTGTCATGAAAGGTCCGAAACATCTGGGTACAAACTGTCTGAGGAAGTATTATCATCATTTACACTTAAGGAGAAAAGAGTCCAAAGACATGCAGCAGGGTTTGACATGAAGAGTGACATTTATTGCGCCTCAACAATGTCCAGAGCGTAACAACAAAAAGGTAAATATGGAATACACTATCCATACTCCCATGGGGGCAAACAGAAGTTCAAGAACTTAACGCTCAAGAAAAACACTTTTAAATACAGAAGCTTAAGAAAAGCATCATAGGTACTTGTTTGAAGTTTTAAATTCATAGATGGGAACTTCAAATAATTCATCGGGACTGGCAATTTAAACTGTATCTTGCTCATATGGCTCACAGTCAAAATATCTTAAAAATATAAATACAATTTTCAATGAGAATGTGGCAACGATGTCAACCAAGTGTTCTTCAGATTACCCATCTCCCAACTGTTTTGTGTTTCACTATATTCATTTTAATTTTAATGGCAGAAACGGTGTAATCCAAGTATCAAGAATGAAAAAGTTGATTTGAAAAGGGTAAAAAAAACAAAAAACACTCACCATTAGTAAATAAGAGCGATAAATAAGTCCAGATGTTTTAGCTGTGTTTGAATGCAGACCCCATACAGACTAGAGTGGTGAAATAAGAAGAAATTTGAAAGTTGAACCAATTAATGTTAGTTTAATTCTGAGAACATGTTTGTAAATTATGGCCCTGGCAATAAAATAATGGTTAAAGCTGTGGATACGATGCATTATGTGAGTTCACATATAATGCACTCAAATATGGTGCATCATGTGAAGTACGTTCACATCACAGTATGGGGACTTGAGTTACAATTGAACTGATGAAGCAACTCAGACTTTAGCTGAGAGACTTCAGTTTGGCCCACGGGTTGGTGCCGCGCACCTCCACTGGTGGACTGTTGGAGAAGATGTGGTTGCACAGCTCATCCAGGGGGGGTTCGGGATCCGTGGTGGCAAACTGAGCTGCATCTTCGATTTCCTTCCTCACTTCCACATCGATCTCCTACAGATGCAACACAGACAAAAAAAACAAAAAGCTTAGTGGCAACCAACACGCACAGAGCAGCTACTCAAGCAATGACAATCGATTATGCAGCTACGTGAAAATAAACAATTTCTGCACATTTTTTTGATCAAAAAAATCTGCTACAAACTTGTTCAGCTTCAAAGTATTTGCTACCTTAAGCTCCTCCACGCTGGCCATGTTGTTGCTGAGAAGGCGGTCCTTCAGCAGGGAGATGGGGTCACTCTTACTGCGGACCTCCTGGATCTCTTCACGTGTGCGGTAGCTAGAAGGGCAGATTGGTGCAGGGACGTTGCAGGGATTGACTACAATAATCACATTTGTACACTCCATCCAAATATAAGGATTTGAGAAAAAAAAACATGATTTCCTGCAACATATAGCAGCTAATGAGTCATATTTGGACCTGTTGTGCAAAATCCCTAATTAGAATTAGGAGGATTTTATCTCTGATTTTCTATTATTCTACAGAGGTTAATCAGCAACAGCCAATAGCAGGATTAGCGGGTGCTCAGCTTCTCCCCGGGTGTTGTTACTGAAAGGACACTACGGAGGGAAGGAAAGTATATGAAGACTACTGCAAACAAGCCAGAAGCAAGAAGGGCAGCAGCACAGAGAACATGACATTTAACATTTTCATATTAGTAACAAGAAAAGCAAAACAGTTGAGGTGCTGTGGTCAAGTACCTGACACCGGGGTCGCTCATACTGTGTCCATGGTAACGGTATGTCTGTAGCTCCATGAGTATTGGACCCTGATGAACAGTAGCAAACGTTTAGCAGAAAAAAAAAACTGCAGCAGTAAATAACTATTAAAGCATTTTATTAAGACTAACCTTCCCAGACCGGCAGTGATCAGCTGCAAATCTAGTTGCTTCCCGAACACACAGAATATCCATACCGTCAACCTTGGAGGCAAAAAGGTAATTTTAATGAATCATTATAAGCTCTTCTGAAAGAATCTATGCTTGCAACAAATAGTCATTACAGGTTGGATAAAATTAGGCATAAAATCCCAACTTGAAGACTAGTTTTTAACCACATGACTCACATTATTTACTTTTAAGGTAGGTTATTCCAGACAACCTGTAGTAATAAAATCTCAATAATGAATGAATTATTTGTACTGCTGTCTTAGCGATGCTGACAATTAAACTTACCAAGTTGACATTAAATAATAATTTAAGTTTTTACAATAACTGAGCAACTCAAATCTATTTTTTTACTAAAAAATATTCCTGGTTTCCATCTACAACATTATTTTAATATTCATATATCAGTATTAACCCAAATATAAATATTTTTAAAAAGTGTCATATCAACTATATGCTTTTATTCTAAGTAAAATATTATCAGCTGTTCTTTTTACTGCTAAACTTGTACAACTGATCTGCAGCTTTAGGCAACATTATCAGAACATTTACTGAATTTTGCAAAAGAAAATGATAAAAACATCAGTAAGTCAGCAGAATCTCATCAAAAATCCTGAAATGCAAAGTATTACCGCATTTACTCCCTGTTTGTAAAGGAATATAATTGGAATTCTTATTGACGGTGTATGGGGCACTGAACAATCTTGTTGTTGGTCAGGTATCAAACTCCTCAGATCAGATTTATGTCAGGAATAAATACATTACTCTGTAAACATGTTTTTACAGAGTAAGAGTTAATTATTTTATCAATTCATGCCCAAGTTTTCTAATTTAAAATTGGATTTTAACTTTATGTGATACTTACATTTTGCTGAGTTAATGTATATGTCTTTACTGGATCTTATTTATGGTGTTTTCCTGTAATACTCTTTAAAATACTCTGTATGTAGGAGGGTATAGAAATACGCCGGCCTTGCCTTTTAAACTTCCCCAAAAATAATATTATAGTGATCCATGCTGTGTTGAATTATGCTGGCAAAAAAAGATTTATGTAGGCAAGTGAAAATCTGTACCCTGAGACCAGGAATAAACTCTCCCCTCTTGAAGTAGTCGGTGCTGGCTGCGGCTCGCTCCACTGACGTCCCCATGCCGTACCTGTTGTTCTCACAGATGAAGATAACAGGCAATTTCCAAAGAGCTGCCATGTTGTAGGTTTCAAAGATTTGACCCTGAAACACACACATTTTTTTTTTTTTTTTTTGCTCAGTGAAGAAATCCAGCAAAATGTAGTCTGACTGATTTTACATGACTAATTTTCTAATTAAATGTTTCTCAGAAAACATTCGGAAAAATAACGCGAGGGAGGCTAGAGTCAGATATTGAGATCCACTTAATACATTGTAAAACAGGAATTTGCTGAATAACTTTGAATTTCCCGTGTTCTGAAAATTATTAAGGGACAAAATTATTTATACACGTTCAACAATATGCATAAAAGACAATGATATTTGTTTAAAAGTACCTTCTAAAATTGTACAGCCATCAACCAGTTTTTAAAAATCATTGACATTTTAAGCATTTGCTCCTCTCAAGAGAAGAAACAGCCCAAAATTAAACACACTTGTATTTATGAACATATGTAAACTTTGACGCAAAATATATATACTATTGGTCACACAGCATTTTTTTCATCCTGTAAAGAAGGTGATAAATGCTACAGTGAAAAAAAAAGCTTTTGAGAGTAGCTGCTTCAAATTCTAATGACTTCAGGGATTTGTGAC